GTCTCAGTGAGAAAGGTGGACTATAAATATGGTAAATAAATACTTCAGGAAAGCATCTCATGGAGCCAGACCCTCAGAAAAGCTATCTTCCAGGCATCCAAGTGAATGGTAGCCACCCCTTGTGCCTCCCAGCAACAATCCTTTATTTTAGCCCCTTACCTGGTGACCAGGTACAACAGCAGATTCTCCAAGGATCTCTCCTTTCTCACACTGTTCTATAATGACTGCTGAGCCATGGAAAGAGAGGAGGAGCTGGTGGGGAAAGAGACCAGCAGATACTTACATTGGGGGTCTGGTTCCAGCCTGCCAGCATGCAGTGTTGGAAGGTGCCACACTGGATGGCTGTCATTAGGTTCTTACATGAGTATGTAGGACCTTTGGCACATTGATGGTGAATGGAGATCTTGTTGGCCAGGGCTGAAAAAGGAGACGAGAAGACCAGACTTTTATAAGTGACAGTGGGCTAGGGACAGAAACTTGTGTTCTTGAAGAAGGGTTTATGGTCAAGTGCTTCAGCCACTGGCCAAAGGATCAATAGGCAGCATAAGCAATGGCAATAATAACCCTTAGCTTCAGTGTTCAAAGCATTGTGTGTATTTTATCTCCTTTTTGTTGCATTATTAATATTTACACGTAGGTTGCTATTATGAGTCCCGTAATGCAAAGCAAGGTGGCAGGGGCTGAGGGTGAAACCCCTTGTGGTTTTGTGGCAGAGGGGATACAACAGAACTTTGTGGCAGGCCACATAGCAGCTGCTGTGGGATGGAGCAGTTGCATTGCCTTCTGAAATATACCTGCCAGATAGGGGCAACCAAGCACCATTGCAGAAAGTTAGACCCAGTCCTCAAATTAAGGAGGTGATTCGGAAAGATATCATGACAGGATCAAAAACCATGGAGAGAATGACATCTCTTCTGTCTGACGCTTGACATAGGATGACTGAAGTGTCTCCGTACCAAATCTGGGCCCGAAACCAAACAGATGAAGGTTGGTTTAATCCAGGGAAGTCAGGGGGTGCATTACCATCACATGCTCAATAATGGAATGAGGTGAACATTGCAAAAGCCATCTGACTCCACTTAAGAGTGTTGTTGTGTATGTTTGTGTGTTTTAAAGGAGTGGTCTCAACACTGTCTCTTTCAAAGCAGCAGGCACTGCTCTACTTGTAAAGAAGCTTTACTAATTTCCTGGGCACACCCATTCAGGTGAGATTAGCCATGAAGGACACAGTCTAGTAAGCAAGTCACTGGCCATTCCATTTTACCAGCTCTTTCTGTAAGCAGAAACCATGAAAACACGAAGCAAGCATATATACCATGTATTATAACAGTACAATGGATACACTTCTAGATTGGTGTATGATGACATTGACAGTGGCTTTTCTAACTAAACTAATATTATGAAAGAGAAGGAAGAGAATCCCCATAAAATACATTTGTTAGAAACTGGGTATTCTTTATTGAACGTTGGGACATGTATTTTGCTGGCTTTTGAGGTCTCATGTTTTCTTTTCTTTTATGTAATATAAAGAAAATTATTTTTAAAGCTGCAATTGATTAAAAGGGTATATAGTAAAAAAGAAGTTTAACTTTCCAAGCTAAAACTAATTTCACAATCTAAGTAACCACAACTTTTTAAATAACCTATTTCAAGGAGCTATAGTTTGCATACATGGGCCTCCTCTCCTTCATGTTATCTTCAGAACAGCCTTGTGGGCAGGGCTATCTTTGGGCAGGAACGCACAGGAACGGAGTTCCGGCTGGCTCCCGAGTCGGCCACGCCCAGCAGGAACTTATTAGCATAACAGGCCACACCCAACAGCAGAAACTGATTAGGATTAGGGGTGTGTAGCCTAACATGCAAAGGGGTTCCTGGTACAAAAAAAGCCCTTTTGACAACAAACAAAGTAAACAGAATAAGAAGAGAAAAGGTGGGTGTGGCTGGATGACCACACTTCTGATAACATGGGGGTGTAGCCTAATATGTTAATATGCTGTGCTGTCAAGGGTATGGCTTAATATGCTAATGAGTTTCTGCAGTTGGGCATGGCCTGTTATGCTAATGAGTTCCTGCTGGGCTTTTTCTACAAAAAAAGCCCTGCTTGTGGGGAAGTTTGGGCTAACACACACACACACACACACACACAGAGTGACCTTCATGGCCGAGTGAGGATTTTAAGTGCCCCATCATGGTGACCATTTCACCACACTGCCTCTCCTCTTTGCCATGATTCTCTCTGAGATCTTCATAAGGGTGGGGGAAGAAAGGGACAGCTGCCATGTCAGTCCTCCCCTTGGCAGAGTCCAGCACCTCTTCCCACTGTGTTCCACAAATGCTGAAAAAGGGAGCTTTTCATTCTCTGGGTTTGAACATACAATGGGAATAATAAACCAGGAAGTTCTCAAAGCTGTGCATAAGCACAGCTGCACTCTTTTGCAACACCATCCCATGGGGCTTATTCAGAAGACCTACTGTTTTATTTAACCCCTTGATTGCCATACTAAAATTACAGCTGGCATACTAAAATTTAATCACTATGGACCTCATAAGGATAGCAGCACCAATATCAGCAGGGACATCAAAGTGTTGGGAAAAGGCTTTGACATCACATCCCTCTAATGCCTCTCTTTGCTGCTGACCACCTAGAGATTACCCAGAAGGCTGTTTTCAGTGGAAACCAAGGCTCTTGAATTGGACTTCGTTTGATTGAAAGGTGGGATGCAATTCTTTGAAATACAAGCCAGCCTGATGGTGTTTAGTATCTGGGAGACCCAGATTCAAATCCCTGCTGTGCCACGAAACTTGCTGGGGCCAGTCACTCTCTTGCAGCCTAACTTTCCACACGGGGTGGCTGGGGTAAGGATAAAATGAAGAACCATATACATCATCCTGAGCTTCTTGGAAGAAGGGCAAAATAAAAACGTGCTAAATAAAACACTGAAGAACGATAAATAAAATTTTACTGTTGGGGCTCAAAGCAAGTCACCAGAAGTGACCCAAGAAGTAGATGACTCTACTAGGAAAGAGAACAGACATACTCAGCATAAGCCATAATACCAGGGGAGGAAGCGGAAGGTGACGTTTAGCCAGTTTGGGTAAAAGCAACAAAACTGTAGACACAGTGTTGGGTTTGGACATGGGACTCAGTAGCCTCTCAGGCATGAAACTCTCTGGGTGACCACAGGCCAGTCACCCTCTCAGCTATACCTTACCTACACAGGATTTTTAAAAATTAGATATTTATACCCTGCTTTTGTCCTCACTGGGGATTAGGGTTGCCAGCCTCCAGGTGGGGCCTGGGGATCTCCCGCTTTTACAACTCATCTCCAGCTGACAGAGATCAGTTCCCCTGGAGAAAATGGGTGCTTTGAAGGGGGGACTCTATGGCATTATACCATGCTGAGGCCCCTCCCCTCCCCAAACCCCACCCTCTCCTGAATCCACCCCCAAAGTCTCCAGGTATTTTCCAAACCAGACCTGGCAACCCTACTGGGGATCCAAAGCAGCTTACAACATTGTTCTTCCCTTTTCCACTTTATCCTCACAACTACTCTGGGAAGCAGGTTAGGCTGAGAGAGTCGCTGCCCCAAAAGTGCGAGAATATGTGTACCTTGGAAAGTATCACAATCTTAGAATAACAGCACTAATGCTCATCAAGTCCTGTGTGCGTGAGCCCTTGAACCACCGCCCCCCAGCTCTGTTTGCTTCACATCCCTTGCAACACTTCAAGAGGTAAAGAGTCTCATTCTAAGGACAAGGAAGTGACACACTTCAGAAGTTTTCCATGTTTGCAGCTCAGGGGGCCCCCTTGACTCTCTCCTGATGACGTGGGCATGGAGTATGTGGACATGATTCTCAGTGTTCCCACTCATGCTGTTTGCTCAGCTAGTCTTGGCATTTGGTGTGAACAAGAGAGGGATGGCCTGCTTTTGGAAAGCAGCAGGTTTCAGTTTCTTCATTGTTTGCACACAGAACCACAAAGCACTAGGCCAAGACGTTTTTTCTGCTTCAGGAGCTCATGTGGCATCACAGGTAGGGTTGCCAGCTTTGAGTTAGGAACTACCTGGATATTTGGGAGTGGAGCCTGAGGATGGAAGGGTTTGGGAAGGGGAGGGGCTCCATATGCCATAAAGTCCACCTTCCAATGTGGCCATTTGGTTGGAACACTTTCCCTATGAGGAAAGGTTAAGGCGCTTAGGGCTCTTTAGCTTGGAGAAATGACGACTGAGGGGTGACATGATCAAGGTTTATAAGATTATGCATGGGAAAGAGCAGGTAGAGAAAGAGGTACTTTTCTCCCTTTCTCACAATACAAGAACCCGTGGGCATTCCATGAAATTGCTGAGCGGTCGGGTTAGAACAGATAAAAGGAAGTACTTTTTCACCCAAAGAGTGATTAACACATGGAATTCACTGCCACAGGAAGTGGTGGCGGCTACAAGCATGGACGGCTTCAAAAGGGAATTAGATAAGCATATGGAGCAGAGGTCCATCAGTGGCTATTAGCCACAAGGTATAGATAGGGGCTCTGGGGCAAGTGATGCTCTGTCTTCTTGGTGCTTGGGGGGGGTCAACAGTGGGAGGGCTTCTAATGTCCTGGCCCCACTGCTGGACCTCCTGATGGCACTGGTATTTCTGGCCACTGTGTGACACAGAGTGTTGGACGGGATGGGCCTTTGGCCTGATGCAACATTGGCGTCTCTTATGTTCTTATGTTCTTATGTGAACTGATCTCTATTGCCTGGAGATCAGTTATAACCCTATTGGGTCTTCAGCCACCACCTGGAAGTTGGTAACTCTAGTTACAGGAGCTGCTGGAGGTGCAGCCCAGCAATCAAGCACTTTCTAGACATTATAAAATGTTTGTGTTGAATCTGGAGTCTTCCCTTTTACAGGGCTGGTGAAATACTACTGTCTTGCCTATTACAATTCACCTGGAATTTATTATGACCTTGAGAAAATTCTATCCTTTTATCCAGCTAGAGTTCCTACTGTTGTTAGCTAAAACAGCATTGTTTAACAATCTGTTTACAAATCTATCCATCAAAACCAGTCCCCAACATTCTGACCCACTCTCCACAAACAGAAGATAAGGCCAGGACACTAAAAGCCCTCCCACTGTTGCCCCCCCCAAGCACCAAGAATACGGAGCGTCACTTGCCCCAGACTGAGAGTTCCTATCTATACCTTGTGGCTAATAGCCACAGATGGACCTCTGCTGCATATGTTTATCCAATTCCTTCTTGAAGCCATCCATGCTTGTAATTGCCGCCACCTCCTGTGGCACCATCTCCATTCACTTCAATGGAGAAAAGTATAGTGTTGCACTTAGGGACTCTGCTGGAAGGAGGCAAAATCTGCCCATTGCCTGGCCTGTCTACTAGCCTGCAGTTTACTAGTCTCCATCCATTCTCCCCTACCTGCATACAACTGTCATTTTGCTAGGCTTGCAAATGTCATCTTATGTATAAAGTATACATAGCAGGACTGGGGGCTCTGTGAAGTGAAGACTGACTGTTCAGGCATGACTCCTGTTTTATCCCAGCCTAACAAGACCAAGTATATGTGGACACAGTTGCTCCCATTCATCTCTTTTGACCTGGCCTCTCCTCTTTCCTCCTTCCCTGCACTCTCAACATTTAGGCTGCCAGGGCCGGAGATAACAACCTCTCTTTGCGGGGTTGTTGCTCTTGATATGCCCATAGGTCTGCAAAAGGAATCACCAAGATAATAACAATGGCTGACAAAAGCATCTCCTTTACAGGGCCTAGCAATACTTTTATTTATTTATTTATTTAAATTTTTTATTAACCACCTTTCTACATTGCAGAATTCAAGGTGGCTTACAATGAATGTAATGATTATATATATATGATCACAATTAGGACCACTGATAAATGAAAACTAAATTAGTCAAATGCAGCCCTAAATAAAAAAACTAAATAAAGACTCTTCTGCCGACTGGTGAGTGGGATGTTATCACTGTTATCCTCTGCCTCTCCAGTTTTCTCACTGGAGTAACATATGACCCAATGCAATACAATACAATACAGTATAGATGACCAGTTGCTTAGCGATTACATGCTCCTCATAGTAAGCTGCCATCTAGAAACTGATCACCTGTATTCACTCTGACCAGGAAATTCCTCCCCATGTCCCCAGCCCATCAAGCTTACCTGAGCCCCCATAGAGAAGGGCGAGCAGAAGCAGTTGCAACATGGCTGTACTGTGCTTTCATAGCAAAGTGCTCCGTAAGGTGTTCCTTTTATAATATTGCTGGCTAAGGAGGGGCTTGCTTGGGAAGAGCAGAGCTAGTGGGCCCAGCCAATAAGGAGGGCCCATGGAAATCACCTGAGTGAGAAATCCCATGTCTTTGAGAAATCACAACAGTCTTTGAGGTTGTCTTCCTCTTGGGAATGTGGCCACTCCCCCCTCCCCCATCTTGGGGCTGAGGGACAACCACCAGATTCCGAGGTGTAGGGTGGGACCTGATCATTTTCATTTTTTAAAATGGCGAAATAATTGTGCTCCAGCAGGTGTAAACCTGGGGCCTGGACTATGATGGAACTACTGTGCTGGTGATAACTTCTCAGCTGCAAATCACAGCTTACTCTTGCAGCAATTCCTGGGGAATTCACCCAACTGAAAATTTCCCTCTTTCTCCATCCTTCTCACAACAGCTTTACCCACCCAGTTTTTATTTAGAAAAGTATCTACAAAGTAATTTCCCCACTTGCTTCTTGTGGGGAGCAGGGTGCACCACTTCCCCACCTCAGGGGTCTCCCTCTTTCTGCAATGTACAAGCTTTTCAGTGCTATACAAACTCTCTTACCTGTTCTACTCCTCCTGCTCTGTCTTCCTCCTTTCACAGTCCCGTGTATTCCTTCTGCCACATGGGACATCAGCTTTGGACTCCTCCATCTCAAGGAGGGTTGTTGTCACTAGAGAACATCCATCATTAATAATCTGCATTTGTATGGCATTTCCTGAGTGTTTAGATACATAATCTCAGTCGATTTTAGCATCCCTGTAAATTCAGGAAAACAATCCTCATACTTTAGGTGGAAGACTGAGGCTGAAATTCACTTAAAAATTCCAGCCACTAGTTCTTCAATTGTCTTCCTTTTGGGGATGGGTTTCCCAGTGGTCTCCCCTTTAGGCACTGACCAATCCTAGATGGCTTAGCTTCAAACCATACCTGGTTCCTCTTTCATTTATTCTTTATGGAAGATGAGGGAGCACAATTATAACTAGTCTTTAAGTTGCCAGAGGACTTGTTATATGAACTGGGTTAATGCTTGACTCCTTTTAGACAAATGGTGCCAAAGCATCAGCAAAAGACACGTGATGGGGAGACTGGGCGGAGGGCGATCGGGTGTGCCTTTTCTTCCCTCCAGAGGCATACGTTTACGCACTTGGCTTCCCTCTCATTTAGCTGAGTAGTACTCTTGAAATGGGCTTGCATAACTGAGTAAACAGCAGCTAAATGGAGCCATTCATCTCTTTTGATTGGATGAGGAGGCCACGCTTGATGAGTGTTCTAGTACTGTTGGCAGAAGTGGACAGATGGGAAACATGCCTTTTCTCTCTGACCTCCAAAATGGCTCTGAAGTTCAAACAATACATACACGTGGAAGGCACACATGTAGGATTGGTTTTTCCCCGGACACAGGCTATGCCCACAAATCTATAGTATCAGGAGAATGGAAGGAAAAAATGTGGGGTGGGGGGCTCTATTTGAGATGATAAAAATAGATGTTTTAGAAGGAATGAAAACATGCCTTTTCTCTCTGACCTCCAAAATGGCTCTGAAGTTCAAACAATACATACACGTGGAAGGCACACATGTAGGATTGTATTTTTTCTGGACACAGGCTATGCCCACAAATCTATAGTATCAGGAGAATGGAAGGAAAAAATGGAGGAGGGGCTCTATTTGAGGTGATTAAAAATAGATGTTTTAGCAGGAATGAAAACACTTTGACATTCTTTCTGGAAAGGGAAAGCAAACTCTGCATTTGTTAGTCCTCTGACCAATGGCTGAGTCTGGCTGATCTTCCCATTTGGGCATTCTTGCAGGGAGGGAAGGGGTTCAACCTCTCACAGTTCTCCAGCCAATGACTTGGCAACATACCCAATGCTTGTTGATGCCTTATGCTTCCCTATATTCATGTGTTCCAGGGCCCTTGCATTCTGCCAATGACTTGGCAACATACCCAATGCTTAGTGATGCTTTATGCTTCCCTATATTTGTTCATGTGTTCCAGGACCCTTGCATTCAGAACCACTGCTAGGGTAGGCATTTGCTAAAATTACCCTTCTTCTCATGCATGCATGGCTGCTATTATTAGTCCCGATACTGAGGAGTTACCTACAAACTGCCCAATTTTGCACCCTGGAACCTGTCCTTGGTCTAAGACACATCTACCTTGAGCAAGTTACAGTTGGGAGAAATTCAGGAGGGGGCTTTTTGATCCAAGCTTTCCAGACTTTGGAACTTCCAGTCACAAGATGCCCACTCAGCCTCCCATTCCAGAGGCTGGTGAAGGCCATTCTTCTCAGGAAGACCTTTGGTGAGGCAGTAGGCTTGAACTTAGTCTAATTGAGTGCTGATTTTTTTGTGGGTTTAAAAAAAACCTTTTGCTATATTTTTTAGTTTTACTGGCTTTTATTGGTGGTGTGCTTTTTTCTGATTAGTTTTGGTGCTTTTATATAGGGATTTAGTTTTAGAATTCTGCTAATGTTGGTGATGTTGTCACTATTTTAATTTACACTTTAATCTCCATTCTTTAGATGTTTTAATTGTGTCAGCTGCCTTGGGTAGAAGGATGGGGCCCTTTCAAATATACCTTAATCCCACCTGCCTGCCAACCTAGATGAGCCAGCAGATCTCTTCAGGTAGCTCCAGTGATCTGCCAAGTGCATTTGGCTACTCTAATAGTTTCTCTGCCCTTTGAAGTGAGGGTTTATTCTTACACCATGAGGCAGCATTCGGGCAGAAGTGTGGAGAGCTCCTTCCTTCCTCATATTTCATAAGAACATAAGAGACGCCAATGTTGGATCAGGCCAAAGGTCCATCCAGTCCAACACTCTGTGTCACACAGTGGCCAGAAATACCAGTGCCATCAGGAGGTCCACCAGTGGGGCCAGGACCCCCCCCCCCAAGCACCCCCCCAAGCACCAAGAAGACAGAGCATCACTTGCCCCAGAGCCCCTATCTATACCTTGTGGCTAATAGCCACTGATGGACCTCTGCTCCATATGCTTATCTAATTCCCTTTTGAAGCCGTCCATGCCTGTAGCTGCCACCACTTCCTGTGGCAGTGATTTCCATGTGTTAATCACTCTTTGGGTGAAGAAGTACTTCCTTTTATCCGTTCTAACCCGACCACTCTGCAGTTTCATGGAGTGCCTACAAACTGCCCAATTTCATATAGTATACAGATCTGTTTCCTCAGAAGGTATTGACCAAAAAGCAGCAGCTGATTCACTGCTATTTGCCTTAACCACTCTTTATGGTGTCTTGAAATGGATTTTGGTTTTGTATTTTTTTGCAGACTTCTCTGGGAGGAGGGTATACATTTTCAATAAAGTAAATGCAGTGAGCTTCATTATATGAATGTGGATCAAATGATATATTACACAGTGATACAGACTGATTCTCTCTCTCTCCTCTGACCTGGATAGCCCAGTCACCTTAGATCTTGGAAGCTAAGCAGGGTTGACCCTGGCTGGTATTTGGAAGGGAGACCTCCAAAGATTGCCACAGTTGTGATGCGGAGGCGGGCAATGGCATCTTTTGCCTTGAAAACCCTACCGGGTTGCCATAAATCAGCTGTGACTTGAGGGCACTTTCCACCACATGTGTGTGTGTGTGTAAATCCAAAAACAAAAGCTATGTAATACCTTTTAATATTAAGGAGAACGAAAATGATACAAAGTGTGCAAGCTCTCAGATATATATAACAGATACATTGCAACGCTGGTCATTGTAGTGTAGAAAAAAGCAAGAAGTATGTAGAAGAACAATACCCCAGAACCATGTCAAACAGAAGACTGGAAGAAACTGAGGGGCAATGTTCCTCCCCTGTCAAAAACACCTGGTTTCCCCAGATGGGTAATACTGATATGTGGAATAGTTGTCATGAGGAAAAGGAGACTGTGAGGGACATGCATTTTCCATTTTATTGTAGCTTTTGCAGGACAGCTTGAAAAAGGACGCTCCACCTCCAATTACATTAGGATTAACATAACAAAGTTTGAGTCCAGTGGCACCTTTAAGACCAACAAAGTTTTATTAAAGGTATAAACCTTCGAGTGCCAGCACACTTCATTAGATACAGGGGAACAGAATTTCCTCAGCCATTACATATAGGAAGAGAGACTGTGGGAGAGGGTTAGTAAGGGCTAATTAAAGACAGAGACAGAAACAAAATTGGAAATTACCAGTCCATACATATAGGTAGAGGGTGAGCAGTAAATTATCATACAGCATAATTTAGATGTTTAACAGATTCAAGGATCAAACAGGAATAATAAGATCAGTTTATATGGTTACCATTTGTTTGGGTTATTAGACTTTCCGCAGGACGCTTCTCCTGCTTAACACGCCCGGCGAGAGCGACCGCAGGACACGCCGACTTCTGCTGGGAAACTACACAGCCGCGATGCGGGCGAGACAAAGAGCGTCCTCCTTGTGCCTCTCTGCAAGGGCTAGGCGTCTAGTGCTCCAACGTGCACCAAACAGCTGCGCGCGTGTCCTTAAGACTGGCAAGCCAGCACAGTAGCCACGGATTTCTGACCCGCACGCGGGTTAGCTGCTTCCCAACGGGTCGCCGAGAATCTCTTCGCGTTACACTGATGGAAAGCTCAAGCGGCCGCGAGACTTGCCAGCCAAACTGGTCGTGAGAAGTACGTGCAGCGCTTCAAGGGGGGCGGGGGCGGAGTCCCTGTCTCATCCAACCCTGTCCATGGAGCATCATTTCCCCTTTCCCCACTTCCCTGTGAATGAGGGCGATTTTGCCCAAGGGTTGCTCGGCGTCGCAAGCCAGACCGCTCCGTTTTCTTAGGCGTAGGGATGCCAGCCTCCAGGTGGGTCGGGACCTGGGGATCCCCTGGAATCACAGCTCCTCTCCAGACTACAGAGATCAGTTCCCCTGGAGAAAACGGATACTTTGGAGGGTGGACTCTAAGGCATTGCAATCCACTGAAGTCCCTGTTCTCCCCGGCTCCATTCCCAAATCTCCAGGATTCTCCCAACCTGGATCTGACAACCCTGTCGTCGTCGTCCCCCATCCCCAGCCAGTGGCGGGGGGCGGGCTGGAAGCTCTACTTACACGGAACGCCCGGCTGTCTCTGACGCCCAGGGCAGGCGAGATCTGCATCTGCACGTGGTTTGTGACCCCGCCACCAGGGCTTTTGCAACAGCTTCGTCTCAGAGGAGCACAAAACCCTCGCGAGCAGCGGAAGAAACTGTTCGAAGCCTGGTAGGATTCCGCCGCCGCTTCCTATTGGTCTGTTTGCAAGGGGTGGGGAGAAAGGCGGCGAATGGGAAGAAAGGAAGCGCCCAGCGGCAACAGTAACCGTCGAGCCGACACAACGTAGGGATTCCCGGGGAGGTTTTCTCCGGCTCCGAGGGAGCGGCGCCGGCCATGGTCTCGCGGAGGAGTTGTAATGCGCCCTGGGTGGGCGGTCGCGAGGCGGAGGGAGCAGATTTGTTCTGAGTCCTCGCCCGCTTAGCCCAGAAACTTCCATACACAGCAGGGACTAGAAACGTATTTGTAGACAGCGGGGCCTTAGCTAAACGTTGCCGTTTTCTTAACGACACCAACCCCACCCAGGGAGGCCACGAACTCGGCGTCGATCTAGGCTATTGTCCGGCTTGGCTCTCAGCCCACCAACACTCCGGCCTGCTCCAAGGTCCCCTTTTGCTGCAGCAAAGCTCGGCATCCCTCCGTGGCTCCTTCTACACGTGGACGGGCCGAGCTGCGCGTTGCGGCTGTTCACCGGGAGCCTTGCTGGTTTGAAGAGCCGCTCCAGACCGACTCGGTGCTTCGACCTGCGGTCTGGGCCGGGCGGTTCTGCGTTCGCGTACTGCCGCCATTCCCAGTGGGGCGGAGGAAAGCAGTTCCCGTGCCTGGTAGGCGGCGGCGTTGGCGTTGAACTTGGGCTCCTGCTGTTAAGGCACTCCTGCCTCTCCTCCCCCCTTCTTTCCCTCTTTCGTCGTCGCCCTTCTTCTCCTCTCTCCCGCGGTGCCATCGATGTGGGTATGTTGCAGCCTTGCCGCCGCTGCTAGCAACTCCTAAAAGACGGCCCAGAAAGATCCCTGCTCCTTTAAGTCCTCCGGCGCGGCTGAAAGAACTCTGGCCAGCTCAGATGTTATCAACATACAAACACTTCCGCCGCTCTAGTGCCTCTAACTTCGGTGTTGGTTGCCAGGCGCTGGCGTGGGCAGGTCACCCAGCCTTGACTTCCTTGCCTCTGAGTGGCAAAATCCCAGGCCCCATTTTGTGGGTCACCTTGGCAGTTGGCTCTCCTGCTTTATTGCCAACTGATGGAAAGTTTTGAGTCTGGCAGTTACTTCCACAGTCATGCTGCTCTGCTTTTGGGCCTCTCACACTGAAGAGCCCCCCCCAACCCCACAACCTCTGTGCGGGTGCTGACCTCGAGGGAGTGGCAGCCCTGCCCGCAGAGGAGAGGCTTGAAGGATTTAGCAGGCCTGAACTTGCACCCTTCTGGTTCAGTCTGGTCTTGCCCTAAATTCTCAGCAGGCATATGAGGAACAGTTACACTCTACTATTTTTTTTTTAAATTCTGGCATCATCTTAAATATTAAGCCTCCCCATGCACCCTGCCTGAATTCTGTCTTGCTCTCTCTGAAGATGGTCAGTTGTTTCAGCAGTGACTCAAATGACTGATCTGCTTCTAGAGCTGTTTGGCACCTTCTGGAATGGGGATCCTGTTCATACAAGCTCAAATAATATGGATTATGTTGTCCGGCTCTAGCCCCTGAATATCATCCCCCAAAGCCTATGCCTCTAGAGTAAAGGGGGGGGGGTGCTTGCCAGTATCTGTTTTTCTCTCCCCATAAAAGAGGGTAGAGTAGGGCTTGTTCTGCTGTAAGAATTTGCCTCTTGGCTGGGAGTGCTGAGGCTGTTTGCATATGAGCAATTTTATATTTATTTACTACATTTTTAATGCCACCCTTCTTCCAAGGAGCTCAGGCTGGTATATGCCAGTCTCATTTCATTTTACCGTCACAACCACCCTGGAAGGCTTGAGGATACGTGACTGGCCCAGGGTCACCCAGCAAGCTTTGTGGAGGAGTAAGGATTTGAATCCGGGTCTTCCAGAAGGGAACCAACACTCTTAACCACTGCCCCAAGCCACCTGGCTCCCCCTCTAGGAGGCAGAAGGTAGTGATGCCCTGGGCCACCCTCTTGATCAACCACATGGAGGCATGGCCTCCAACCTTGCACAGCTGGTCTTGTCATCTGTTGTGCAACAGCAGGCATGTGCGTGGGAAAGGGAAGGCCTCCTAATGATCAGCTTATCCTTGGGAGTAGCTTCTTCTGCCTGGCCCTGTTTCAGTGCTGCCTGGTCTGCAGGGTCCGGCACCCTCTTGCCAGGACAGCAGGGAGGACAGGAAGCCTCTCAATTTGGGCTGGGCTATGCCTTCCCCCTGTGCTCCAGGGCAAAGGGAAGCATCCCCCTCTGGGGCTGCTGTGTTCTTGGAAGCAGCACAGGCCAAACTGCTACGCTGGAGCCAGCGGGGCTGCCTCTGGCTGCTGGCAGGATTGTACAGGTGGTGGCCGGCCTGCCTGACCCCTCCTTTCCGTTACAGGCTGCTCTTTGGGATGCTGTATCCTGCCTATGCCTCCTACAAGGCTGTGAAAACAAAGAATATCCGGGAATATGTAAGTTGGGACCGAGAACAATGGAGGAAGCTCCTTGTTTCCAAATAGTTGTGGGAAGATCACATGGGGGTGGGGAGCTTGTGAGTCTCTGAGCAAAGGTGCAGGGGGTGGGTGAGCAATGATTCCTGGGGCAGCTACCTCTTGTCTTCTGGCCCTGGGTATTATTTTGGCTGCAGGGTGTGGTTCTATATTAGGTTGAAAAGTTTTTTTTGTATAATAAGGTGAGCTCATTTTAATGCAATTTTTTTTTGTGGCTGTGTATTTTAACTTGCCTATTGTAAAACAATGATCATTGTGCTTTGTTTTTTTAGTTTAAGAAGGGCCTCATACACTGTGTATGTTGGCTTGTTTTGTTTTTGTATTGATAACTTATAACTTTTGTGGTGGTGTTTTTTACTTGTAAGTCACTGTGGAGAGGCAGCTCAGTGGGAATGTAGCATCCCCCACCTGAAGTAAAATACTGGAATGGCTGAGCCCAGGTTCTGCTATGCGATGCCTTCTCTCCCCCACCCTATTGCTGTTTATGGAGGGGGAGGAGAAAGTCAGTGCCTTCTAACCCTTCCCCCCTCATGTCCTTACAGGTGCGCTGGATGATGTATTGGATTGTGTTTGCCCTCTTCATGGCGACAGAAACTGTTGCAGATATCTTCATTTCCTGGTGAGCAGTTGCTGTTCCTTTCATTCTCCAGTTCTGCAAGTCACGCTTAGTATTAGTTTCTGATTTTTGCCTCCATAGGCGAGAAGATCCAAGGTTCTGGTTGGATATGTTCCTTGCAGCCTTTTGGAACTGATTTAATCTTCCCAAGCTGATGGCTGAGAGAGTGGAGGGGAGGGTCTTTGGACTGTGTAGTACCAAGCTTTAGTGGCCTCTTTTGCAATGTTGCTGCCTGTTGAAATGGCTGCTTTTAATCACATGGATTTAGGCCATCTCTGGTGTTCCTTGTGTGGCCACTGCACCTAAAATGTGAAATTCTGTTGCTAACATTACTGTCATTGACCTGTGCTTTTAAAAATCTATTTCTGTATTTTAAGCCTTAGTCATTCCTTTGATGTAACCGTTCCTGGGGGGAGTTTATATTTCTTGTCAACATTGCCATTTTCAGACCCCCGATGGCAGTTATTGATTAGAGTCTTGTAACTTTCACTGTAGGCTTTTCTATAATGGGTATGAGTCACTGTGTGTTCTACTAAGTTGTGAAAAATACTTGGCTGCCACTTGACTGACCACTCAAATACTATGATCATGCGGGCAGCAGAGTCTGAGCAGCTGTGAAGTTTAGTAACAAGACCCAAATCAATTGCACTTTCCACTAAACGAGATCCATTAATTCATGTGTATCAAGTCAGTGAGTCTCCCTTCATCACAATTTGCTTGTCAGGAACTGCAAATTTGGGGCTTTTTACCAATTGATGTAATTTTGGTTTTGAAGGAGGAGTGTGTGTATATATTCTGAAATATGGATCCATGGGTGACAATTTTGTGTGGGCTGAGGTGCAAATTGGGCCACTGTATGTGACTCACTTGTTCTGGGTCTGGTGTGGGCCGATGAATGATCTGGGTCAGCAGTGAAGCATCTGATGGTTGATCCACCCCTCATTTGCTATGGTATCGGTCAGTCTTGGGCTCTCTCTCATATGTGAAGGGTCACCTCAGTTGGCCCAGAGACCAGATAAGTTTCTCCAGCTGAAGGGTGAGTTAGTTTAAAAAAAGAAGAAGGATACACTTAAATTTACTACACAAATTAACAGATATACTGCTACATGGCTGTGGTCATGCACAACACATTTAAATTCAATGTCTGTGTTAACTGGAAAGGAATGCTCTTTTGCTCCAACCCACCTCTGCACTTCTGAAGCAGGCGCATGAGTGCAGCAAGACATGCCCTAGAGTTTTAAGATTATCCTCTAGAACCTTTGGGTTGCTTGGCAGGCTCCACCAAACTGGGAGATTAGTTCCTTGGATGTGCTGAGCGTTCTCAAGTCCTCTTGTAGCTAGACTGACCTCCTTGTCATGTCACCTGTTGTCCAGGTTTCCCTTCTACTACGAGATCAAGATGGCTTTTGTAGTGTGGCTCCTGTCTCCTTACACGAGGGGGGCAAGCCTGCTGTACCGCAAGTTCATACATCCTACGCTGTCTAGCAAGGAGAAGGTAAATACTGTCTAGCACTGCTTAGTAAATACTGTCTAGCACTGGCATCCACGGAGAAGGTAAATACTGTCTAGCACTGCTTGTACTAGAAGAGGCCAGGCTGTCATGTGGGCAAAGAGGATGCCAAATCTGGCATCCATTGAGCTGCTTGCTCTCTTCTGGATTCAAGAGTGGTCTTCATCTGCTGTCCTGGAAGCTGTTGCTGTTGGCTCTGTGGCAGATTAAAATCCTGTGTGGAAACAGGCACATGTTTAAGCCTGTATCATGTGGGCAGAATGTGGCCTTCTAGGAGCACTGCTCATGAGGATCCAGAAAGGCCAGTGGGTGAGCCTTTCTCCAGTGACCGCTGGCGGCTGTGATACAAACCCTTAAGGGTGGTGTTGGGCACATGTGAACATAGTCAGCCAGTGAGCAAAATGGCTTTCCACTGCTACATTCTACCCCCCCCCTTTTTTTTGCAGGAAATAGATCAGTTCATTGTTCAAGCCAAAGAACGTGGCTACGAGACCCTCGTGAGCTTTGGGAAGAGAAGCTTTAATGTAGCGGCCACAGCTGCTGTCCAAGCTGCTGCAAAGGTAACCCTGTTTCTTCTGGACTCTTTGAAATGAGATGAATGTGAAGTCCTGCCGTATCTGGTGGTGGGGTCTCCTTGCTGTCCACCATCTCCCTGGAAGTAGGGCTTGCTGAACCTCAGGATGGAGAGGTGAGGAGCTGCTTTCAACTTGTTCCTTCTCCCTGCCACACGGACCACTGCGGCTGCAGTGGCTTGGCTTCCTGCCCCCTTTAGTCACTTAAGTTCTTAACAATTACTTGAGAGCCCTTGTTGGCAGCTAGCCAGAATCTGCAGAGCCTGTTGCCTTCCTAGTGCTTGATCTTCTCAGATAATGGCCTTCTTTCATGCCATCCGCAAGGTTTCTGGGACATCCACTACCCCAATGAGTCTTTCAGTACTCCTTCAAATGGATATGTACACTGACTTTGCATCCTGCCCAGAATTTCCTTGCATGCAAAGAGGAGGGGTGATTCTTGTTTATTTCCTGCACTTGCAGCAGCCCCCCCCTGAAATGCTGTGGGGACAAAGAACCCCCAGGAATTGCTTGACCGGGGGGGGGGAATCAGAGGTCACTTTTGGGAGGGATAATCAGCAAAACTCCCTATCTGTGGAAATTTTAAAATTGTTAATTCATCATAGTGAAATGCATTAGTGGTGGATGGCAGCTTCTCCTCCTTCTGGTAAGCTCCACTGTGGATTCTTCCTGCACCCTTTTTGCCTCTGGAAGGCTAGCTAGAAGATGGCACCTTCTCCTCCACGTGGATCTCCATTTCCTCCCTTTCAGAGTCAGGGCGCCCTGGCCGGCCGACTGCGGAGCTTCAGCATGCAGGATCTGACTTCCATTCCGGACACAAGCCCAGTTCACTTTTCAGATCCCCTTTACCCGGAGGAGCAGGAGCGGCGGCGGCCAAGAAGTAAGAGCCTGGCCAATCTGTGTGGTTTTCTCTGCTCCTTAAAGTTCTGAATGTCAGGGGAATGAAGGTGGGAGGGCCTGAATGGCTTGGTATGGAGATGCAAACAGGAAAAGAACCCTTGAAAGAGCAGCTAACAAGATAAACCCCCCTTAAAACAGAGGCCCAGGGATTGTAGTAAGACTCCTTCTGTTGCCCAAGAAGCACAGTTCAGCAATCCTTGCTTTTGATTTTATCTATATCCTGTTTGTCTGCCACAGTGTTCGAGACAGGCTAATATAATACACAAAGTAGAAGAAGGGGACAGGGAGGGGGAGAAGGAAATGCTTCTTTTCTCGCCTTAGATCAGTTGCCAGATGACCAGCTGGAATGGGAGGGGAGGAGCCCCTGTGGGCACCTGGTCCCAGGCAAGCCGAGGGTGGGGCCTTGTTGCCCCTGCTGATGCAGCCTGGAGAGCTTCCCTGGGTGACCTTGGCTGAGCACAACATGTGCTATGCTGGCAAACTGGTTTCCCAAACACAGACCTGGGGGAGTGTGTGTGTGTGTGTGCACTTAACCCTTTCTGTGCTTGCCAGTTCTCCCCTGCAAGTAACCCTGTTGGTTTAACATGGCTGGCCTTGCCTTGGGGACGAGGGAGAGAAACAGTGATGCATTTGAGTAGGAGGAACATGCGGGGGAGAATCAGCAAGCATAAGGAACGGTTTAAATCTGCTTGTCCTCTGAAAGTGTGGCCCCCCACCTTCCCTGGGGAAACGTAGGGTTGGGAGCCCCATGTTTGATTTGCAGTCTAAAGTTCTGTCCTCGATGTGAGACTAAAAGGCTCCTTGGTCCTGAGCTCCTTGGAGGGTGGATATAAATTGTGCCGGGTTTGAAATGATGCTGGCAAGACCCAGTGAGAGCTGCTTTCCTTATGGGTACCTTATGGGTACCTACTGGGGATTTCCCAAAGGACAAACCTGGATGTTTTGCAAAGGCAAATTATGGCTCTTGTACATTGATGGCCCTTCAGTGCCTAGTATGAATGGAATTATTCTAGTCAGGGCCTTGGGGAATTAATCTCCGTATTTGATCTACATAGCACAGAGGACTGCTACCCGACAGCTGGAGTATGAGAGCAACGAGGAAGACTGCTGGTCCGATTCTCAGCTCTCCCCGGGTTCCAAAGCCCGCAACAGGGACCCATTGATTTCCAAGCCACTGTCTAGGACTCAGAGCCTTCGGGTGGTGAAGAGGAAGCCTTCAGCCAAGGAGGTAAAGTATCCATTGGTTGTACAAGGCTCTTGCTGTGTATGCACAATGCAGGTGGAGGCCCATCATCTGACGTGGCATCCCTTGGTACTGATGGTGGTGGTGGGGAGCGTCACCATCTATCTGGCTGACTTGGAACTTTGACTCTCTGTTTGAGACTCAGGTGTTTAAGTGACAGCCCCCTTATCTCCCTCCCCCCCTTCTATTGCAGGGTTCCACTCGACTGGTGCGAAGCCGCCCCAAAAGGAAGGTGGTGGATCAGGACATCTAGGCCACTTCCATGTCAGAGAAGTCGCTTGGGCAAACAAATTGGCACATGGAATGGGGATGGTGGTTCTAATGGTGCTTCACAGCTTGTATTGCTGACCCTGTTCAGGGAGCTGTGAGTAGTTTTTTCCTGCCTTAGTTGGGCACAGTCAAAGTGGCCTCAAATGAGCCACTTCTCAGGGCCAGTGGTTGTGCTTGCGGGGCGGGGGGGGGGGGGTCCAACAGTGGAGGAGGAAAGTGGTTTGCTGGCTGGAAACCCTTGTTGGCAGCTGAGCCGGTAGCAACCTCTGGTGCCTCCCTTCCCTTGGCAGGCTTAGCTCTTGTGCCTGCCCCCCCTCCCCCCAATTATGCCTTGACTCAGAACAGGGGTGACGTTTTTCATTCACTGGCTCTTGAACTGCATCTGAGTGTCCTGCTCAATTTGGCTGCCTATATTAGGAAGTCTCCCCCCTGCCATCGTGTGCCTTCACCAACACAAGTACATGGCACTCTTGAAGTGGCAGGAGAGCAAGTGCAGCTTGGCACTGTGCATCAACGTGCAGAAACTGACATCTTTTTTTTTTTTTTAAAAGACATGTGCAATGATTCCCAGCATTTTGCTGAATGTTGAGCAGATGTTCTTGTAGCTTGCTTACCAGCATCTGAGTTCGTTGCATTCCCTCTCTGCTAAGGGTTGCAAGAAAAAGAAGCCAGAACCTTGCACCTAAATATTCTCCCCCCACCCCTTTTGTGAGTCTCTGTCTCCAAAGAGCCAGACTTGGTTAACTACTGTGACTTGAGTGCCTTTGTATTTTGAACGTTTTGAATGTATATTAATTAAACATGTGTTCTTAAATCTAAGCTAGGCTTCATTCTGTTTGTTTCAGAGGTTGTGTGGGTTAAATACTGAGGCTGGCTAAAGAGAAACTATGTAAAAAAGGGGGGGGGCAGGCACATTCTCCCTCCCTTCTGCATTCCAGCCCACAGATTGACCTTTAAGCTGGTCAGCACTGATGAAGCTGGTCAGGCTAAAAACTTGCTGCTCTTCTTCCTACCTGACTGCTGTGCTGCGTAACTTGTGTTTGTGTTCCTGGCTCATGTGCCTGAACATAGACAGAGAATGAGCTGGTGCTACTGTGCTATCCAACTTCCACGCCAATCTCCACTACCTACCTATGCCAGTGAGGAGGCTCTGTGTTTGTGTGTGTGGTGAGTGGGAGAAGCTCAATGTGTGTCTGTGTTGAAAGAACAGCTTCAAAAGGGGTCTGTACTGCTAGCCAGTCACAGCTCAGTTTGCTATTTGGATTAGGATCAGTTCTGTGCATAACCAGACTTTTTTTTTTTTTGTTAGAACGTACAAATTGGGCCCAGAGCAAGGCCAGAAGCTAAACTGCATTGTTCCCTCAGCAGGAGTGCAGGCTTTCCTTTCCTCCTAGAGCTGGTGGTGGATCATGTCATGGAGGATTCTGTCTTCCTCTCTCCATCCTCCTTTAACTGAGCTGCGTGCGTGGGATAACAGTGGCTTTGCCAAGTACCTCAACAGTGAACAGCAAGTGCTGGAACTTAGATTGGACCCCACCCCCAAGTAGTGTCTCTTCCTGATGCAAACTGTATAAGCCAACTCCCAGCATAATGCCAACCAGCCTGCCATCTCCAAACATGTTCCAAAGTATTTTATTTATGTATTTATTTATTAAAACATATCCTGCCTTTCTTCATAGTTCAAGGTGGCTTACAATAATAGTTAAAACATTTTAGTTGAAACCAAAACTAGCAAACCCCTGCATCCAAGCAGGAAGTGAACAGGGCATGCATAACTTTTGTCAGATCTTTTCTGTTCAGGGCAACTGCTTAAACATAGTCCTGAACATATTGGAAGAGTGTCTGGATCCATGAGGACACCCAACCTGTGAACTTCCTAGGAGTGTGACCTCATTCCAAGCATGCTAGTCTCCTGGATCAGTTACATTCTCTGTGTCTTTTCTTCTACTGGGCCTGGGCTTAGTCCCAGGAGAGAGGCACCCCACGTCTTGCTTCTACCTGCTGCCAGTCAGAGGGAAAATAGGAAGTAGGTCATGGGGCTTGAATCTAGCTCGGTGAAGAACTACCTCCCAAATGACAAAAGTGGTTTTTACTCCTGTAGGTGCTGCCTTCTAAGTCTTTCAGCTTAAAAAGCTGGATAACAATAAACTAAGCCTCAATTTATTTACCCTCCTTTGTGTCAGTCCCTGATTTAATAGTACCAATGCCACTGACTTCAGAATCTCCAGTAAACGTCTCCAAGTAGTTCCACAGATGTAAAATTACAAAAACAGCAAGCTGGATCTGTTCAGATGTTACACCTCACTGAGGGGGAAAGGCATTATGTGTAGAAAATGTTGATATTTTATTTAAGAACACACGAGCCATGAACTAAAAATACTTTCAGAACCAAAATCACTTTAGTACTGAAGTCTGCTAACTGCCATCTCCTTTCCCAGAATGCCACATGGTTCAATCTTAAAGGGGCAGTGGCGTATAAACAAACATAAAACTTACATCAACTATTACTCCCTGTGCCAAAGTTATAGCAGAAAGGGTGAAAAACCATTTGAAAAAGGTAATATCTGAAGATCAAGCGGGTTTCTTACCCAAAAGACAAATAAGAGACAATTTAAGAATAGTAATGGATGCAATAGAATATTATGAAAAACATCCAGAAAAAGAAGTGGCCTTTTTGTTTGTGGATGCGGAAAAAGCATTTGACAACTTAAATTGGGACTTTATGTTTCAAATGATGAATAAAATCGAAGTTGGGCAACATTTTAGCAACATTATTGAAGCGTTCTATTCAGAACAAAAAGCAAAACTGAATGTAAACAAAGAATTAACAGATCACTTTCAAGTACAAAAAGGGACCAGACAAGGCTGCCCACTTTCACCATTGCTATTCATCTGAGTTTTGGAAGTATTACTGAAAAAAATTCAGGAAGATGGAGAAATAAAAGGATTGAACCATAAAGGCTATAAATACAAATACAGAGCATTCACGGACGATGTGATGTTCATAGTGGAAAATCTGACTGAAGAGTTACCGTTGTTATTCCAAAAAATAAATGACTTTGGCGAAAAGGCAGGGTTTTATGTGAATAAAAATAAAACCAAATTATTATGTAAAAACATGATTAAAAAGAGACAATTGGAACTGCAAGAGCTGGTACAATGTGAGGTTGTGAAAAAGACAAAATATTTGGGAATTGAGTTAACTGCGAAAAATATGGATCTTTACAAGAATAATTATGAGAAGCTGTGGAATAAGTTAACTCAAGATTTCAAGAAATGGGATAAATTGAATTTATCCCTGACGGGCAGGATTTCTGTAGTGAAAATGAATGTTCTACCACGATTGATGTTTTTATTTCAAACTAACCCAATATTGAACAAGACAGACCTGCTGAATAAATGGCAACAAGAACTCTCAAAATTTGTTTGGGCAGGCAGAAAGCCGAGGATCAAAATGAAAATTTTATGTGATGCCAAAGAAAGAGGAGGTATGCAGCTACCAAATCTAAGACTATACTATGAAGCAGTTTGTCTAACATGGCTGGAGCAATGGGTGAGTTTGGAGAATAAAAGACTGCTAACTTTAGAGGGTCATGACTGCAGGTTTGGTTGGCATGCTTATCTATGGTATGGAAAATCAAAGATGGACAGTTTCTTTGTGCATCACTTGGTGAGAAAGGCATTATTTGTGATTTGGACGAGATTTAAAAGATACTTTTGTGAGGAAAGACCACTTTGGATTGTACCAGCAGAAGTACTGACGCCGTACTCAAGACAGCAAGGCATAGATTGGTTGCCGTACAGAGACTTAATTAAAAAGGAGGGAACAGAATGGGTAATGAAAAAGCAGAATGAACTTCAATATAGATACGTTTGGTTGAAATATATGCAGATTAATGATATCTTTAAAGAAGATAAGAAAAATTATGGTTTCAGAGAGGAAAAAAATGAATTGGAAACTATTTGGGAGGTTGGAGGGGAGAAAATGGTTTCTAAGATGTATAAAAATTTATTGAAATGGTATACAGAAGATGAAACAGTAAAAGAACAAATGATAAAATGGGCAATTAACATGAATAAGGAAGTGACAATAGATTCGTGGGAATATTTGTGGAAAAACTCTATTAAGATATCGATGTGTACCAATGTAAGAGAGAATTGTTATAAAATGATGTATAGATGGTACATGACGCCTAAGAAAATAGCAAATATGAACCAGAATATGTCTAGTAAATGTTGGAAATGTAAGAAGCACGAAGGCTCATTTTACCATATGTGGTGGACATGTGATAAAGCTGTGGATTTTTGGACAAAAGTCCACGGAGAAATGCAAAAAATACTGAAGTTTTCCTTTAAAAAAGCACCTGAGATTCTGCTTTTAGGACTTAAAATAGAAGAACTAAATGTGAAGAAAAAGACTCTATTCTGGTATTTAATAACAACGGCGAGAATGGTTTACGCACAATGTTGGAAACAAGAGAAAATACCAGAAATAGAGGATTGGATACAAAAGGTTCTGTTCATGGCAGAAATGGACAAAATAACAAAAAAACTAAACAACAAGGAAGACCAAGAATTTTTTGAGGAATGGGTTGACTTCAAGATTTATTTAGAAAAAAACTGGGATGTAAAACGAAATTTACTTCGTTTAGATCAAGATTGTTATCTTAGAATGTACAGGATTTTTGGGACACAGGAGAAATGCATTGCGGGAAGCCACTGGAGAGGAGGGAGGGGGAAGGGAAACTGATTATAAGAAATTGTATTTTGTGAAATGTATTAAGAAAATAAAAGTTTCTTGACCAAAAAAAAAAAAAACTATTACTCCCTGTCACACCAGCACCCAGCAGCAGTCCCTCAATGCCATTAAGGTAAAGGTTCCCTTGCTCGAAAGCCAGTCGAATCCAACTCTAGGGTTGCGGTTCTCATCTCCGTTTCAAAGTTGAAGAGCCAGCGCTGTCCGAAGACGTTTCCGTGCTTATGTGGGTGGCGTGACTAAACACCAAGGCGCACGGAACGCTGTTACCTTCCCACCGAAGTGGTACCTATTTATCTACTTGCAATTTCTTGCTTTCGAACTGCTAGGTTGGCAGGAGCTGGAACTAGAGACAGGAGCTCACTCCGTCTTGTGGCACCCGGGTCTCGAACTACTGACCTTCCACAGCCTGCAGTTCAGCGTCTTAACCACTTGAGCCACCGCAGCTCCAATGCCATTAATTGTACCTATATCAGAACAGCGGTTTCCAGGTTCATCCTAATATTGTAATTCAGAATGGGATTGTGGTAGGTGCTGAGAGCACCAGGACTGTGCTCCTGTTCTGTGTCCTGGTGCAGATTGTCCAGGAGGATAAAACAAGTATTTTCCATTTCAAAGCCATATTGAAAAAGATCTGTCAGTATTTGGAAGATTCCTTAGCAGTAGCCTACCACCACATAGTTGAGTACCTTTCCCTAAGCAGGCAGGGGAGCTAAGGGACGATTTCTTTCAGAGTGGTCTTGCAAGGGGTTAGGGTCCACTTAATGCCTCAAAAAGAGGCACCCACTTCCTGGGCATCTTGTGGCAGATTTTAACAGGAAGAGCGATGTTTAAGTGCACCTCACCACCTCAGGGATCTTGTCCATGTCCTACTGGATGCACAGGACAAAGGGGGACCTTAGGCTAGAGGATACATTAAGTGAATTAGAAGTGGCATTCTAGTAATAGCAAGTATCACTGACTTGATCTGAACACTGCTCAGCATGTGTTGATTGTGGTTAGCGTCTCGACTCCTGTCAAAGGGGCCCAACTACGGGAAAAAGCTCTGTAGGCCAGTATTTGAGTTTCTCTGTCACCTCGGTGCAGATTGCTACATTGGGTCTGGCTGGAATTTAAGCGGAGCTTCTGCTGTTGCTGGCACTCATACAACGTGAATTGAATGGTACTCTAGCAGTAATTATCTCAGTTCCCCCAGTTCACTTACCTAAGCCATAGGGTGAGCAGATCTTTGACAGGACGACAATCGGTTATGCCAAAAGAAACTCCCCCAGTGCCGTCGCAAGAACAACTGGGTGGGAAGCGAGCACCTCCTCTGAACGTCAGGAGAGCCCCGCAAAACCAGCCACACCAATATTCCCCGTCCCCTCCATGAGCTGGAGAGAAAACTTTCAATGGATATACAGAACTATACTGTTTCTATTATATTTTTTATCTGTGAGCCGCCTGGCACTGGTCCCTAGAGGGGCACCATATACGATCTCTAAATAAATATGGAAGTTCCAGGGAGATCCTATCCGCTACTTTTCCCCGCCTGGGCGGCTTCAGCCAAACTCATCCTAAAGCGCTCGGGCCCGTCTTCTGCCGGCCCTCCGCCTCCAGAACCCCAGGAATGGAGTCAAAAATCAGCCACGCGGCTTCAACAGCCACCGACTTCCCCACTCCGAGGGCGAGGGTGGAATAACTCCACTTCCGCTAACGTCACCGTCGCCAAAGCTTCTCCCTTCCCACGCGCCTTAACCCCCCGCCCCTTTTCCGTTGCGGGCATGGGGAGGGCGGATCGCCTCTGGATTGTGTTTTGCTGCGCCACACCGGGCGACAGCGCCCCTGAGCATGTGCAGAGGGCGTCGTCGATATGGCCGAAGAAGAGCTTGACTTGCTGCTGAGCGGTAGGGGCTGGCCTATCCCGGAGGAGTACGATGCCGGGCCGCCGCCGCCTCTCCAGCCCGTCCGCCTGCGGAGGAACACCTGCTACGTAGTGATGGCGGTGCTGCTGAACGAGAAGGTCAGCCGGGAGGAGGGCGCGTCGGGCCGGGCGTTTACCCCGTCCTCTGCTGGGCGGACCGGACGGCTGTCTCCCCTCCCCCCTAGGATTGCCAGCCTCCAGGTGGTGCCTGGAGATCTCCCGCTTTGACAACTGATCTCCAGCTGACGGAGATCAGTTCTCCTGGAGAAAGGGTTGAAGGGTGGACTCTGTGGCATTGCACCGTCTTGAGGCCCCTCCACTCCCCAAACCCCGGCCACTCCCGGATCCACCCCCAAAGTCTCCAGCTATTTTCCAATCCAGAGCTGGCAACTCTACACACACACACACCCGCCCGAGCATGACTCTGCCGTTTCTCCTGCAGAAGGAAGTGCTGGTGATGCAGGAGGCGAAGCTGGAGTGCCACGGGACATGGTACCTGCCTGCAGGGCGGATGGAGCCCGGGGAGACCATTGTGGAGGCCATGCAGCGGGAGGTGAAGGAGGAGACGGGCTTGCAGTGTCAGCCGCTCACCCTGCTGGCCGTCGAGGAGCGGGGCACCTCCTGGCTGCGCTTCATCTTCCTGGCAAGACCGACTGGTGCGTTCTTGGGGGCCGGCCCAGTGGGGAGGGAGAGGCGGGTTGGAGAGGAGCCTCGCTGAACTCCCCTTCGAGGGAGAGCAAAGGCTGGGCTAAGCAGCCGGTAGAGGAAGAGCCGTTTGTTTTTCTCCTTGGCGTTGGTGCTCCAGAGAGCTTTTCAGGCGCAGCTTGTGAGGTGAATGGTGCCTGTGCTGTGGGGAGAACACTTAGGTGGGTCAGCTATCCTCCTCCAAGTCTACATGTGATTTTTCTTCTGCTCTGAATTTCACTATCCAGAAGAGGAACCCTAGAGTTGAAGGTCACCTTTGCTGATTGGGAATCTGTGTTCCCCAGTGGCTAGTTAATGTTTACTTCTTTTTGCTCACTGGAGTAAGATCCCAGTTACTACTTAATACCTCCTTGGAAAGGCTTTGCCTGCGTCTCCTCTCCCCCAGCTTCAGTCATTCCCCTACTTCTGTATAGCAGAAAGTCCGGACACCAAAAGTACCCTTGTTCTACCTCTGCTTCTCTATTTCATTGTTTGTTGCAAAATAAGTTAGCACCAGAGGGTGACACAGATGCCTTTGCCACAGCTGCCCTGACACCACATGTTGTTTCTCTAGGTGGCACCCTGAAAACCCTGCAGGATGCAGATGAAGAGTCGCTGCAGGCTCGGTGGTGGGACCGGAAGTCTCCTACTCTGCCACTACGAGCCCGGGATATTGTGCCTTTTATGGATCTTGCTCTGCAGTATCAAGCCAACCCATGCCACCCACCTACGCTGCCGGCGGAATTGCCCTGTGCTGTGATCTGCCAGCGGCTCCTGGCCCTGTTTACTGACAGCAGTAGTGCTCTGTGGGTGCTCCTGGGCGCGGCGAGGTCTCCACACTTGCCTGTGGTTGTGAATGGTATGTCTCCACCAGCACTGGGCGGTGGACTTCTGGTGGCCATTTATCAGCTGCTCCACCCTGGCGTGATGGTAGAGATCCGCGGCTTGCTTGGGCTACAGCACCTAGGCAAGGAGCCAGGCCAAAGCGATGGCATCTGCTTCAATGTAGTAGTGACAATTGGGGGCACTGGCCAGTGCTCAAAGGAGAAACCGCCAGAATTGAAGAGCAAGGCCTTCCGCTGGTGGAAGGTTGAGGATGAGGACCTAAAGAGCAGAGTCCTTCAGAGGCTCAGCACATCATCCTTTATCCCACTTCACAGCTAGGCCCCCTACTCACTGGTGCCAGGGATGCTGTTTGGCTAAGTGGGGCCTGGGAAGAGGCATATCCCAGCCAAACTGTTAGGTCCTTCAAAGCTGCAGTCCACCTTGGAAGAACTAGATTCCGGCCAGGAAAACCCTTGGCTATGCCAAGATGCGCCTTGATGTTGGGCAAGTGCTTCGGGGAGATGTAGAATGGAAACATGAGACTAGCCAAAAGTACCATTGAGGGTAACTGAGCATTTCTGTGTTTGCATGAAAATGCATAATGTTTGTCTAAATGTCAGGAATTCACCAGTGTTGATTTTATCCCTTGAGGAATACTGGGCTCTGCGCACAGCTGAATCCCTGTCTCCTGCAATAGAGGCTAAAATCTGCCAGTTTCCAACATCTGAGAAACACATCCTTTTCCTGGGAGGTCCACAGCAAGGCTCATGCAATATTAAAGTTACTTCTGCATCCTTGGCACTGTTGGCAAAAGTGTGGCCCTAAGTGACCAAAAGCAGCCTGAAGCTCAAAGCTGTGTTTCTTTCTTTTTGCTGGGACCTCTTAGCCTGGATTCTCAGGTGTACCTGGCAGAATTCAACATGGCAATGCTTAGTATGTCTTTGTACAAAACAAATAAAAGCCCAGTCTCCTCCATGCGGATAGCATTTTTGATTAATGTAGGCTGGGGTGGGGAGGCTGGAAGGTACATAATTTGGGATCCGCACTGTATTTCATAATGAGAGAAGGCAGGCTGTGTCCAAAGCCCCTTACTGTACACCAAGTATCTCACATGGTTGCTGTATATTAGACTTACCACTTCAAATGACCTGAGGACTCAGTTTCTGCATGATTTCCCCCCACAGCTTGCTGTTTATTTGAGGCACTGATAATCATTTATTGCACTTGGAGAATATTTTATCAGAGTAAAAGTCCTATTAATAGGTTGGTCTGATTTCTCCACCTCCAATTTCTGTCCACGCCACTCAGTTCAGAAAGTTTAGTGCTCATGTTTGCATGCTTTGTAATAGAACAGAAGATACAAAAGATGGAGATGTTCTTCGTGGGGAGGCCGGACTAGAAAGGGTGGCAAGAAAGAGAAGACTGCCAGCTACTGGCAAAGGCCGTTAAATAAAACAAGGCAGATCCCAAAAGCAGCACCCAGTAAATCTGTACCTTCAACAGAAAGAAGTAAAATGCAAAAACAGGCCAGGAGTCATTAAAGTCCTCTAGCGCTGGTGTCAAGGAGAGCAGCCTGTGGCCATGGCAGGACAGGCTACGCTGGGAGGGAGGAGAGGTAGTCACATCTTGTTTGAACGCCACTCTTGGGACCAACTAACAGTTGGGGCTGCTCTTGCTGCAGGAGAGATGGAGAACTTGATTGCAGAGAGGCTGGGATGTAATGCTCAACACCAGGCAAGGGCAGAGCTGAGGCCCTTTGATCAAGTAGTCTGGTTTGATGTCAGTGCCAGCTCTCACCCCTTTGGGTCCTTTTGATCCTGAGCCAGCCCTTTTCACCAAGGGCAGGGTGCAACTCAACAGGATCCTGCAGGATGTCAGTTTCCACTTTTCCCTGGGGGAGTGACTGCCACTGCTGGCAGCAGCTCTGCAAGTGACTGCTGTGCTCCCAAGTTTACAGAGCCTGTAGCTCCCAGAAACGCCTCAGCCAGCTCTTGGCTGTAAGCAGAAACAGCAGAAAGCCCTTGAGAGGCCCGGAGTACAAGGAAGGTGGTGGTTTGTAGCAGCCAGGGCTACTTTGCCCTTCCAGGCCGTGGCTGAAGCTGCACCTGTGTCCTAGCATGGGTGTTCATGTATATCAGAGGGTGCCCTTTGGCGCAGACTTCACAAAGGCAATGGCAGCCAACTCCTTGCAGAATTCCTCGAGCACGATCACCCCCTCCAGCAGCATTCGGTGGCTGATTCTGCATGCAAGGAAAGAATTTTTACCCTCTGTGTCAACCAAAGTTCCCTCTAAGCTGTGGAGTCTTGTGAGCAAAAATTCTACTTCATGCGCTACTGGCATTAAAGTTGTGAGCGAGCACTTTGGCTACTGCATTAAATTAGTTTGGTCTGGAGCCATCCTTCCTGAGCGAAGACCAAAATGTCTGAGCCGGAGGCTAAATAGCTGTGAGCTAGCTCACACTAACTCAGCTTAGAGGGAACACTGGTGTCAACTGTCTTGGAGTTATGACACTACTTAGCACTTAGAAAGCACTTCATATGCACATTTTTAGCTCTCTTTACAAACCCCCCAACATGGTAGGTAAGAATTTCCATCCTTCTATGATCGATGGTTACAGTGACAAGGCTACAACCACATTAGCCTGGGCACTTCCTGGTTCACAGTTTACTCTTTTCCCCACAGATGCTCACCCTGTAATCCAAAGGAGGGGGCAGCTTTGTCCTGCCCATCTCCAGCAGAGCTAAGTGTCGTTGTTAAAATAGGATGAGGGGGAGGAGATGAAGATTCAGATCCTCACCCAATCATAAAGCAACCCACTTCACCAGACTGTGACGATCAAAAAGGGGGGAAGAGGAAAAAACAAGAGAACTGTTCTGAGCTTGTCTGAGGAAGGGCAGCATGTAAATACATACAGGAATCAGGAAACCAGTACTGCTTAATGTGGCACCTGCTGTCAGATTAAGAGGAATCCTGGTCTAGAAAGAATATTAAGTTGCCACTCCCTTTTTAACTTCCAAAGTCTGCATGACACAGAGAGGTACAAGGCTGGCACTGAAGTAGGCTGAGGATGTCTAGCCAAGCTGATTAAGGGAAGGAAAGCCAGCCACAATGCTGAGCCACACGAGGGAGAGGCCCCACAGGACACCAGCTCTGCAGTGGGCTTGGTACCTTTCTGCCCATGTAACACAGCCAGAGGAAGGCCACAGTCTGCAATGAAGTGCTGGGTATGCAGGGGCAAAAAGGAAGTGAAACAATGAGGAACAGGTAGCAGGTCTGGGATGGTCTGGATATTAGTCCTATCCCAGATAAAGCTGCATCTTGTCTCCAAACCCCTCCCTCCACCCAGCATCAGACTAGCACAACACTTACTGCTGTTCTTCAGGGACCAGGCCCATTAAACGTTTCCGAACCAGCAGCAAGTTGGCTGGGAAGTCTGGTACCCTTTGGATTCTCTGCATCAGGTCTCCAATCACCTAGAAGGAAGGACGGGAGGGAAAGAAGCACTGAGCTGGAAGCAACTGGAGGAGTGAAAAGAGAGGCAAGCCCCCACTTGCAGGATACAGGCACCTGCTTCAGGGCCCTCACAAGGGTCCTGGTGAGATGCAGCATTCCCAGCCCCCTCCGCATGCAGTGTAATTTTCTCCTGTCCCTTCTACGGCAGGACTTTACCCGGATCAGCACTGAGAAGAGGGTCCTACAGCCTGGAGCCAGGGGCAGGTAGGGGTCCAGGAGGTACTCGTGCAGGTGAGGGTGTGGAAAGAGGGCCAAGCGGGACAGTACCGATGTTACTTGCAGGTTCACTCCATAGGGCTACAAAGGAAGAACAACACCAGAGGCAGGAGAGAGCAGAGTTGTGTGGTTCCATTCATAACCTGCTGTTAGGAACAACTGCACCTAGTGGGTGTGGCAAGGGAACAAGAGAAAACCCCCATGCTTGGCCCTGACCTACCACCCACTCTGCAACCATAAAGTATTTAGCTACAGTATTCATATGCAAATACACTCAATTTCATTGTTCCATAGCCAGGCACATTTGCAGGACTCCTACATAGGGTGGGAAGAATGGGAACCGGGCTTCATGAGGGGCCTGCCCACCTCCCCTTCTTTGAAGCTGGTTCCCCAAAAGGGAGAAGTACATGTCGCTTTTTCCTTCCTGCCACCTCTGAGCCAAGTACAGGACAGCAACACTCAGGCAACGTGGGCTGAGTTCCACACCGTTTTCTCCCCTACCTGATCCAGGATCTGTGCCAGTCGGTCAAACAACACCTTCAGGAAATGGCCCTCATAAAAGTGGCATCCTGCAGTACAGCTTTCCAGAGGCCGAGAAGCCTGGGGCCAGTTCCAGTCAGACGTGTTAGTGCAACATTCCCAAAACTAATGGAAGAGAAAGGAATCTTATCATTCTGACGGTCTGAGCAGACAGAAGGGGCACACAATTTGGAAATGGCTCCCTCCCTGGTCAAAAGAGTCTAAAGAGCTATGTGAGGCTCTGTGGAGACCCACAAAGGAAAATAAGCATGTGCTCTAGCAAAGGAGTGGGTAATAACAATGGGTCATGGGAGGGATAGTCATGGAAGTAGCTACTCACTATTCCACTAGCGTCATGGACGTAAGTGTCATATCCACCCTCCTCCAGGTAGGCAGAGGTCTTTGCTTCACTAGGAACCAGGCAAAGGAAGCTGAAAGGGAAAGCAGCAAATCAGTTCCTCAGACTCAAGATTCTGGAACGAGCCTGCAGAACACACAAGGGCTGCTTCCACATTAGCCATTTTCTCCAGAATGGAAATCATTAATTCATTCCCTTATGGAGAATTCAAATAACCAAATACCACCGTTCCCCTTCCCCCCATTTAAAGACAAGCTTGTGTGTCTCCGAGTGTAGCCCCAACAACTGGTAAAGCAGCACTGAGGCAGGAGTGGCAGCGCATGGCAGCTGGTGGCGTAGATGGGATGACCCATATTTCTGCATTGCTTGCCTTTCCACTTCCTGATTGTCTTGTGAGTGACTGACACACCCCGCTAACATAATTCCTTCCTTGTTAACGGTTCAGTTTTGCACAAGCAAATTAATAAAAGTAGGTTTTTTATTAGTTGCCTTTTTACAGTCTTCAGTCAGATAAGTCTCCCCACTGGCTGTGTTTTAAAGTAGCTCCTGCTTCTTCCAACTCCTACCTCTTTGGCCATTTTTTTTCTTTGCAGCCCTAACAATATCACTATTGACTTGTCATACAACATGGCTATTTAGTGTTCTCAGAAACAGGATTGCAAACCAATAAGAAACCCACGCCTGGCCATTAAAAATAAATAAGTGCAATAGTGAACTGGTAATAAAACATGTATTAAAACATGACTGAGTCA